ACGTAACGTACTACGTTACTACTTACGTACGTACGTTACGTACGTCTCTGTATATCTACGTTACGTCGTACTTACTACTACGCACTCTCCTCTTCTCTCTCTCTCTCTCTCTCTCTCTCTCTCTCTTTCTCTTTTGAGTACCATTGGACAAGGAATCAATCCCTGATCATAGCTTTTCTTCTGGATTTCCATATCTCCAGCACCTCTCTTATTTTCAGTCAACAATGCCAACATGGTACTCCAGTTTCAGGAAAAAAAAAAATTGTCAACATGGTACTCATGCTACAAGATTTGATTCTAGGTTTAACAAATCAGCTCGGCCTTGGAAACTGGGTTTATAACTTGGACGAGTCCAAGTGGTCTCACCCATCGAGTAGTGTACGGGGCCACAACAAGCCCTAAAAAATTTAAAAAAATCAAATAATTTGTTAAAAATAAAATAAAAGCGGTAAAAATAAACTAAAATAAAAAAATATAAAAAGGCTTAAAAAAAACTAAAAACAATATAAAAAGTCCAAATAAGAAGAAAATAATATAAAACATGTATTTAGAAAAAAAATTGATTTGTAGGTGGAGACATTTCAAACTATCCAAAAAAAAAGAAGAAAAAATTTAAAAACAACGCATATGACAAGAAAAACTCATCACCATAAAAAAAATTCAAACATTTATCATTAATTGCACAATTTAATACACTTTTAATGTTTTTTTATTGTGCCAACTCCCAAGTCATGTACTATACTCGTCAAGGGACTGAGCTCGGCTGAGATCTAGTGGAATCTGCTGAATTTTTTTATCATGATTGGAATCATTTTCTTAAAATTGCTGCTTGCTTCTCCTTTATTCTGTCTATTTATTTTTGATGAGTAACAATTATGTTGCTTCTCTCTATTTATTTATTGCAAGCAACATTGCTGTTGTTTCCCTCCATGTTTCTTCACTCAGTGTCACTAATCTACACGCTAGTCACATTCATGGAGTTTATGAAGACACTATCTTTCCAACAGGCATCCAAGCCGAGCTATCATACCGGTCTCCTTTACATTATCCCTTTTGTTGGGTTAGTGAAGGTTTGGGTCTTATTTCAATATTCCAAATGACTTTGTTGGGTTAGTGAAGGGTTGGGCCTTATTCCAATATTCAAATGACTTTTTTTTTTCTTTTTAGTGTTGCATTTTTTTTTGCTGTTACTGTAGCTCGAGTAGCAAAACATAAATGCTATGGTTTCAAAATCCAGGATAGTCTAATTAATTTTGGAAAAGAATTCCTTTATGGTTTCCCATGCTCTTAACATGCAGGTCCGTAAACCCTGATATTGCAAATTTTGACATCTTCTTTCAGGATTGTGTTGATGGGTTTAAGAATTTGATTTTTATGATTTCTTTAGATTTCTACACCACATGTATGACAGTTCCTAGACTATCTAGTCACTTTCCTTTAGATTAGTTTCTCTCACTTTGCTGCCTTTGCTCAAAACTGATTCTGTGTTTTTGGTGTAAAGCATATATTCTCTGCTTTTATAAAGAACCGGAATTACTAAAAATAATAGAAACTTGAAATTTCATGTCAGTTAAAAATTAATAATGCATTATATATGTGTATCGAATGTAATTTAATTAACTTACCCAGTTAAAATCCCATGGAATCATATTGTCACTGTTATAAAGTGTTGTCACTATTATGAAACAGCAGAATCCCCTGGCTAAGTACTTTTGGTGGTCAAAGGGACCTCATTAGGAACACCTGGTACTAGTATTACTAGGGTTGATTGATGAAAACTCTCTTGGAAGGTCATAGACCTTACTAAAAATATCTGAAAGGTGCATGATGCCATTTTATCAGCAGTCATTTTGGCCATTTTGTTGGAAGATATTCTATCTGCACACCGGCACAAGTATCAATGCCCAAACAATAATGTAAATATGTTAACTTTGGAGTCTAAAATCGTGCCTTTTAGTCCATAGACCAATCCTTTCTACATATATCCTTTTTCTTCACAATGGTTATATAGTTAGGATGTGGCTCACCCTTAATCAACCAGAAAGGCATTCAAGGCATTTCGCATCCTTTCATCCTTGAGGTTATCAAACATTGAGTGTTCACCATAATCAGTGGGGTCACAATTACTGTGTGGGCCACAATGACATGCTTTAAAGGCATTATCTCTAGCTATTTCTTTAAAATATCGATTTGTTTGGGGCCAGTTGGAATTAGTGATGATCTTCTATGATTTTTCTTTCATCCTTTCTGCAATTAATTGTTATTCTGTTGCAAGAACTTCCTGGATTATTATTCTGGTATGGGTAAGTATTTTGACTGTTTTTCTTATATTATTAAGTATGTATGTTGATATACCAACATGCCTTTTAATTTCAGTCAACAATGGTACAACTGTAGTTTCCCTGATATTTACTTTTACATTGTAGTGAGTATTTTGATTCTGTCCTTTCTAAGCTTCTCTGTGGACAGAAACCATGTCTTTTAGTTTTTCATTCTTTTCTACAAGATGAAAGTCACTTCCCAATGGAACCATCTTTGAGAAGTGCTTTTCTTAAATGTGTCTTATAATTTGCCTTCATCTATGTACCCTGTGAGGAGAACATGGCTATTTATGTTTTAGGATTTTAGCTAGCTGGGATTGAATGGAAAGTCTTTGTATTTATTAGTGGGTGTCTTAGTGAGATCTTGAGAATCCTCGTCACCTATTTGTTACAATTTTGCTTGATTCCTGTTAGCTTAACTCTTTTGTGTATGTTTTCATTTTGATGATCATTAACTTAAAAAAGTGAACACATTGCATTCAGTCCAATCTTGTCATCTGGGTAACTTTGTTTCGGGTGACTTTGTTTCTGTTGTTTGTTCATCCTGATATGAAGGGAATTGGTGTGATGGGTTTGCTTGTTATCTGTCTTGGTTGACAGGTTAAAGATTGGAAATGATTTGAAGTTCAAGCTTAATAGTAGTGGATCATCACTTGCTGAGGTTTTGGGCATTGATTACAAATCAATACTGAAACCTGCACTAATAGTATTTGGTGATGACTCCAAGAAAAATGGCAAGAAGAAGTATGAAGAGTTTGTTGCCCTCCAGAAACAGTTGCATGAGAAATTTTTACAACAAGATGCAATGAAAAGTGACAATGCCATTCGTCTAGCAAAGATAGAAGAGGTAACAGCTTCAGATCCTTAATATTGATAGTCTAGTTATTGTCTTTTGTTGGTGCATGTATGGCTTAAGTTCGATTTCTTTTGTATTTGAACATATTTAGATTCTGCTGTTTATATTATAAATCTCTGAATATATGACTGTTTCGCTTACAAGAGAAGCACTGTTCATTGTTCTTCCTGTAATGCATTTCAAATGTATTTCATCAATCATACTGCTCTGTATGTCTTATGAATAATTCAAAATATCATATTACATCTCTTTGTTGGTGCGTGTTCTTTAAATATTAAATAGAGAATGAATGACACTTTATTGTCTTCTATTCGAAATCACATTTTGGGGCAATGTTTAAAAATTGCTGATCTGGATCAAAATTGCCCTATCTGAGTTGGGATTCCCAAGGGACTGTAGTCGTTGAGGTGTGAAGCCCTTCTTAGCACTAAGGTAAGGCTAGCAGAGAGTGAGGCTAGCTGGGAGCGGGATGCGACTCTTTGGCAATTCGAAGACAAAGTCCAGGAGTACTTGCACGGCAGCTCGACGAGGGCGTCGAGTTCTTCAGGTGGTTTTGGCTTGTCACTGACTGTTGAGGGGGGCCCACCTCCCACTCCCCCTCCCTTGGTCAATCAATGGCAATGAGATGATTGACCAAGGCCTCCCCTTAGATGGAATTGGTTTAGTCAGGGCGGATAGGCCGCCAAAACAAAACCCCAGATCCAGGTTTCCCTACGATTCTTGAACTCAACCCGATATCAAACGAATCACCCGGTTTTGTCAGAGAACAAGGTGATTCGAAGTGTAGAGTCACCGATTCCCTGTTTCTTCAGGGAAAAAAAAAGGACCTGCCAATTCTCTGTATACCTTTTCTTTTAAAGTTAAATGTTCCATTTTTTTTAACTTTTATTATTTTATAGATTTTTGTTAGATCGCCATGATTCGCGTGATCTGGATAGGTATTGCAATTCAATTCTGTCTGGCGAGGAACCCATTTGGATCCTCAATCCTTTTCTTTAAACATTCTTTTGGGGCTTCCACTCTCTTAGGCTCAAGAATCTGGGCACTGCTTCCTTGAAAAAAAATGTGGCAACCTAATAACAAATTTCAGTTTTGGATAGTACTTTATCAGATAGTAATGAACCACTCATAGCCCAAGTGAGTGGGAATCAAGAAAGCAAGTTTCTGGGAGATTTGTTTTTTTACTCATGGAGAATACAATAGAATATGAGATAGATCATTAATAGCACTAGCGGAAGGTAATAGTGCTCATGATGAGTAAAGAAAGGGAAGGTGAAGGGATAGCACGAGCATTGGCAATCTCATTGCTAATTATCTGAACCAATTTCATATTTGTAATCTGTCTTAGACACTATTAACGTATGTGAATATTGGTATTTCTTAACAAACCAATATTAAGTATCCTAAAATGGTGACTATTGATTGTTACTTGTGACTTGAGATACTCATCCTCTTGGTGACGTATGCACCTAGGACGATCACTTTGTTGTTATCATCCAACTACAAAAACGTCTTCACTTCTTGCCCAATACTATTTGGTCCGTACTTTTTTTTCCTCCCTATGGATGCAAATCATGAGCATCAAAAGAAATTTGAATTCCGTTTGTAATGAATTTGTGAATTAGACTTAAATCTTTGTGAAGTTACTTGTGCAAAAAAGACCTTTAGCATCTCTTGGTACTACTTTTGTGCTGCGGGTGCAGGGCAACTACTCCATCTTTCTTAGCTACCCCAACTATTCTCAGCATTTTCTTGATGCCCCGAAGTTTGAGCTGACATCATCCATCACATGGCCCCTATGGAGTGGTAGGGCCTCTTTTGTGGCGATTAATGTAATGCCCTTATACATGATGCTGGAAGTTGTTGCCTTTTGAATAGTGCTGGCCATCTCTTATCTTAGAAGTGGATTGTTTGAGAAGCCTGAAAATTATCTGTATTTACCCAAGCATGAGGAAATTGAGATTGTTTGAGGTGCCCAAATCTTAACTTGTTTTCTCAAACATCAGGAAATTGAGATTACGCAGAAATACATGATGTCAGACACAGTGTATTACACAGTTTCACACGTGTGTTCCATAACCCTCGTAACCAGTCCCGCGATTAAAAACTTCTTACCAACTTGGACAAACTCACCGAGTTGACTTGGCAAGTTCCCAAATTATATGACTCAAAAACTCGGATTTAATTATTTTTTTTTTTTGTCATGTAGATATAATATAGCATTTAGTGAAATTGTATGAATGTAGTATGACTTGTCAACTCACTTACGGTCGAATCCCACCATTGGCACCTATATTTGTTCCCAGCGTTTTGTTGCTATTTTTTGTCAACTTTTTATAGAATTTGGAAAAGTTACCTGAGTTTGTGACTCAAGGTTGTTGGTGAAGTACACCCTAGGTCTTGGGACAAGTACCAAGGGAGATAGAATTTGGTGGTTGCTTTGTGCCTTTGAATGTCGCAAAGGCTACCCTACTAGGGAAGTTACAAAGCGTTCCCCTAGGAGTTTGAGCAAGTTATTATTATTATTGTCATTATTTTTTTTTGAGAAGGTTAACAATTTGTATTAAAAAAGTACATCAATAAGAGTCGAGAGTACCCATATACCAGGTCTTTCAACCAAAAAATGGCCACCAAGCAGTGGACCTGTACAAAAAATAAAGGGCTAAAATATAACCCCAAGTAGAAGAGATAGGGTTGTGCAAAAAAGGAGGGCTTATAGGACACACTCGATTACGAGAGAAAAACTGTGCAAAAGAAAAAAGGAGTGCCCACAGAAGTCTAGAGCAGAAATGGAGATGGATCAGCAACCAAACCATTGTCTAAGCAGCTCAATGAAAAGTCGCATCTATACGGGGCATGAGGTTGGCCTGAGCGGCATCTTTATTCAGAAGATCTCCAAAGTCGTTCGACGTCCGCCAAATATGCATCCATGAGACGTCTATAACCATGCAAATATGCTCAATTTCGTAAAAAATATGGACAAGGTACCAAAGAAGAGTGGCCTTTCCAGAGCCCCAGGATATAATGTTTTTGGCATCTCGCTCGATATGCAACTGAGGAGCCCAGGTAAGGTTGGACCTCTTGATGCCCAACAAAAGGACCGTAGCCTCTGAAAATTACGAGTCTGCATGGCCTAGGTAATCTGAGTAGGGGGCCAAAATATTGCCATTATGTTCGCGAAAAACCCCACCAGCTCTAGCTGGGCCTGGGTTACCCAAGGAGCATCATGATACCAACCAGGGGAAGCGACCAATTGTTGGCTCTTGAAACCTGAGGGGGTCAATGGTGTATGAGGTTCTCCCAGTCGCGAAGGAAGGTTGCAGCCGAGATTCCAGCGAAAGCTCTGTGGTTGGATGCCCAAAAGAAAATCAGCGAAGTAATCCTATGGAAAAGAGCTGGGACTTCGCGTTTAATTCCACAGAAAATCTTGGAATTACTTTCGAGCCAAAGGACCCATAAAATTGCTGTTAAGGAAGCTTTCCATAGGATTCTGCCCGACTTCGGCCAGTGAGAATCGAAGGAATAGGTAAGCAGCGCCGGTATAGAGGGTGGGTTGACCCAAGAGAGTCCAAAGAGTTGGATGATAAGGCTCCAAGTTCAAGGGCTATGTGGCAATGGATAAATAAATGAGAGTTCATTTCTTCCTCGCAGAGACACATAACACACCTGTTGGGAATTTGGATTCCTCTCCTTTGGAGATGGTCTACGGTAAGAGCACGTTTAGAGCTGGCAATCCAGTTAAAAGCTTGCACTTTAAGAGGTGCGATGGTGGACCAAACTTTGGGTAAAACAGAGTTGGGGTTGAGGGGGAAAGTGCGAGGTTGCAGGAGCCACTTGTAGAAAGAAGCCACTGAAAGAAAGCCGGTGGGGGAGGGAGTCCAGACTAGGGTGTCCATCCAGGAAAGGGCATGGAAAGTAGAGTGGAGGGAGGCCGAAAGAGACATGACGTCGAAAGTTTATTATTATTGCATATATGTGTATGTGAGGTTTATATGCAGCCCTTCCTTGCCATTAATTATTGTTTGTTCCACATGGCAACCTATTCAATTGATTTCCTGATTGGTAACCTCTAAATTGTCACTTGTTCAACTGGTTGGGGCGACCCATGGTGTTATTGAGATTGCCCAATCAAGGGGTCGATACCTCTCCAGAGTCTTGCTTCTACACTTCAAGAGGGGAATCATGCTTCTACTTGATTTTTGAACTTTAGAATCTATATCCTTCTATAAGGGATTAGATTATGAGTTACACAAGATCCAGATTCCCTAGAATCATATTTGAAGGTTCTTAGACATTGGTTCAACCAATGTGTGTTTAGAGACTCCTTAAGACAAGACCTAGAGTTAGAAGCTAATGTATTGAGATTATTGACATAAATTTCCTTGACCCACTTTAATCTCTGACAAAGAAGGGTACCGTCTTTGCTGTGGCTATCTGATGGCTAATTTGCACAAGATGATGTGGCAATGCAAGTGCTGTGTAAACAACTTTTTCTTTTATGTATATATAATTTGGGGCTTCATTTTAATATTTTTTTTATTCAAAGAATTAGGATGGCGAGGATTGTTGCCACTTTACATGAAGTCATAAACTACACTTACACTTCAAGAAATGCAAAAAATTAGTATAATGCCTAATGAATCATTTTTTTTTATATTTGTTTTAGTGAAATATCAACTCTTTGTTTTTTATTTCCTAGTAAGATTATAAACTACACTCAAAGAAGAAAATATTAAAATATTATAGAGTTTTTGGACTTTCTTGAAATATGTAATAAAGTTTTGCACTTAAAAATATTAATTAATCAAAATGTTGTATGTCCTAGAGAACCCTAGTTAACTTCTCTCAATCTTGGGGGCTTCGCTTTTAACACGCTGGGGTTAGGTCTTGCAAAATTTATTGTTCAATCTTGAATAGGTTAAGATCGAGCTACCTCCTATCAGGTGGGTCCGTTCAACTTGCTAATCTGGTGGGGCGATCCACCCTAGGTC